AGCTTAGATGCTAGGATTAAATAAGGTTTTCAGCCGGTGTAAATCTTGCAGATACCATAGAGTTTCTTTGTTGACGTGAAAACATGTCAGTGATCTTTTGAAGCACTGAATGCTGAACGAGCAAGCAATGCAGCCTTTGTTGAACCTTTCCCAAATTTCCGCGTTTATCGAAGCGAATCATGTGCATCATGACAACAGGTATGCTATAATGGTCATGCGATTCAATCAAATACCACATGAGAACACGCAAGTCTGAGGGCTGAGTTAATGGAAATTGAGTCACAGAATCTTCGCTGTCTTTGTTAAGGTAAATAGTCTCAAGAATTAAGACAGTGCATATTGTTCTTTTTATTTATTTGTACTAGTACTACACCAGCCTAAATACGAAATAGTTAAAATTGAATCCTGGGGATACAACAGTCGTTTCACTGGTGAACGTTGACCACATCCGGCGATACGTTGCGGATAGATCTGCATGACATACAGCTGCATGACAAGTGATAAATTGAATTCGATCATCATTATAGAACTTGTAACTAATAAATAAAGGAGGGCAACAACGTTTCGAACAAAGTGGGACGCGATAGCAGGGCGGCAAAAATTTTATTCGAAGGAGGATGACAGAAATTCAAGACGTTTTTTAAGTACAAATGCATAACGAAGACTAGTTTATTTACCCATGTAGAATGCTCTCCTCAATAGGAAAGGAAAAGGTAGAAAAGAAACATTCAGAGGAACACAAGTATGCACATAGTAAAAAAGAGTTTCCCGTGAACCCCGCACGCACTAATTTTTTTGTGCAACTGAGTGTCACGGGGTCGTGACGTGACCGAAGACAGGAGACATCGTGTTGGGATTTAACTGTTTATTTGGGCGAACCTGTGCCCGGTAAACAGAAAGTCCAATTACAGCAGCAGTCTCGCACAGATAGCAGTCTCAGACTGATAGCGGCGAACGGAGCGTCGGCCTTCGATCAACAACTGACAAGCAGCGAAGCGCGTCGGCATTTATACTCTTGCCGTCGAATGTTCTAGCGTTATCGCTGGCGACGGCGTAGGTTCCAGAACAATCTGTACCGTTCGCACAGCGGGCGTGATCTTATCGAAATGATCTACTACAGTCCGGAACCTTCTCGAAAACTGCAGGCGCGGTTCGCGCTGAGAATGGTGTGGTGTTTTGGGACGATAACAAAAACTTGGGAAATGGAACGTGGCATTGCCCCCCTCTGAAAAAAAGGCATCGTCCCGATGCTTTAACTAAAGATGAAGGTACAATAATAATGCTAGAAATTACAATGAATAAATTACGATACAACAATAATACAAAAAACACTGTTTCAGTTTGTTAACGCGCATGAAACGGCTTGAGGCGTGCGACATGGATGACTTCAGGTCGCGATCAGCGTCGTTGAGAGTTCGTGATGCCGTCGGGGACAACCTCGTGATCAAGTGGGCCGAGACGTCGAACCACCCTGTATGGTCCGAAGTACCGTCGCAGAAGCTTTTCCCTTAGTCCACATCGGCGTATCGGCGTCCACACCCAAACACGTTCACCGGGCTGGTGTTCCACGAAGCGTCGTCGAAGGTTGTAACGATGGCTGTCTGTCGTCTATTGATTCTTGATACGGAGACGCGCAAGTTGTCGGGCTTCTTCGGCGCGTTGAAGGTACTCGCTCACATCGAGGTTTTCTTCGTCGGTGACGTTGGGTAACACGGCATCGAGCGTCGTTGCCGGGCTCCTTCCGTAGACCAATTTGTATGGGGATATCTGCGTCGTCTCCTGCACCGCCGTGTTGTATGCGAAGGTCACATACGGAAGAATGGCGTCCCACGTTTTGTGTTCGACATCGACGTACATTGACAACATGTCGGCGATCGTCTTGTTAAGCCGCTCGGTGAGGCCGTTGGTCTGTGGGTAGTACGCTTTCGTCCGGCGGTGGTTTGCTTGGCTGTATGCCAAGATCGCTTGAGTTAAGTCGGCAGTGAATGCCGTTGCTCTGTCGGTGATAAGGACCTCCGGGGCGCCGTGACGTAGGACGATATTTTCGACGAAGAACTTAGCTACCTCGGATGCACTGCCTTTTGGCAGGGCTTTTGTCTCGGCGTAGCGTGTGAGGTAGTCGGTAAACCCGACTACCTCACCCGAAGCCTTAAGCCTTAAGGCTTCGGGTAAACCCGAAGCCTTAAGCCGGGAAACTTAAGCTTTGAAACTCGCAGAGATGTTGTGAACGCACGACCTATTTAAGGCATTTTCAAGACAGGTTCGTGCTATGCCCCGTTTAACTAACTTGTTGTGAGCGGAAGAAAAAATAAGTAAAGGTTTCTGCGCATGTGGTTCATAACACCAACAAACGTGTTGTGTGCTAAAAAAACAGTCTTAAATCCAAAAAGCTTAACTTGTCCTTCTCGGGCATTCCATGTGTCAACACAAGAGGCTTTAAACAATCTTCAAACACGCCTATCGTTTGAGCCACAATTGAGTGGAACATAGAAGGGTTACAATTTAGAAGAACCAAAAGATCATCCACGTATCTGAATACTTTGACGACATGCGTGCCCTCTAACGTTTTCTGCAGTTTATTGCCCATTTTTGCTAATAGTAGATGACAGAGTAGAGGTGATATGCATGAGCCTATTGAAACACCTTTTTTTGTAGATAAATGCAATTCTTTCATTGAACGAAAATAGAGGCAATGTGCAGCAAATCAAGGTGAAGAAAATCTCGCGCACGGATGCCAGTTTTTAATTGGAAGTTCAATTCTCCGAAGACTTCTATATAACCCTTCATACAATCTAATACCTCATCGTAAAGCAGTGAGTTGAATAGGTCTTTTGTGTCAATTGAAAAACCGAAAACATTAGTTTGATTTGACTGTTTGAAAAATTTCATCAGTGCCTGCGAGTTTTTGATCAGAAATGGGCCATCAATCCTTAGACACTTCAGATGGGTCTGAATAAACAAGCTTAGTTGCTTTTGAAATGGTCCCCTTTCTGTAACAATGACTTGGAAGGACATGCTAAGCCCATTTTTGTCGCTTTTACTAATATGCTGTGCTAACTGTTTCAACTCCAATTTACCCTGGCTTGCGGTTTTACTCCATCTAGACGACTGTCGGTACAACATTTGAAAACAGAGCCAACACCTGTGACCGCCTTTTCTCGGTACAATTAATTAGGAAGAACCGCGAAACCACCCTCCTTATCTGACGGCATGACACAAAGTTCGCTGTCTCTCAGAAACTTGGCCGTCTTCTGCAATGGAAGGGTGGTGCTGGTAGGCTTACCTCTTCCATGCGGTGCTTCTGTTGCCGGAACGACAGGAAGGTGTCTGAACAATCAACTGAGAGAACACGCCAACATTGTTAGAAACGGTAAAGATGGTTTTCTTGCTCAGCACTGCACTGAGTGCAACTGTGTGCCCTTTTTCAAGGACACAGGAACGCTTTACAAGCACAGGTATGAGCGCACCCAAGTTATTGTCGAGGTCGCTCAGATGGCACGCGAACAGGTGTCATGCATTAGCAAGCCCTCCGTGTCTCTGTCCGAGAAGGAACTAAGGTTCCTCGAAAGTTTCGGTGCGCGCAAGTAGATATATTAGTTTTTCTTTTCTGTTTTGCTTCCTTATAGACGTTTCTTTCTCTTTTCCTGTTTGTGCCACATTGTTTACTGTCTCCTCTATATTTGTTCCTGCTCTGCGCAATAAACTCAGTTGAAAGTTAGCGCTCGTGTCCTTCGTATCCTTCTTGTGTCTTTGTCGACGTTCTCTTCTCACGCTATACCTTAAGCCGTGTTCCTGTGGGTCCTAAATGCGCTCCGACTGCAAGGATTCCCTCCTCCGTTTTTGTTGCGTCCCGTAAAGGCGTCGTCTCCAAGTTGCCCCTTTCCTGCTTTTCCGCTGCGGGTCATTCAATCAGCGTCCCTCAGAAGCTGCGGTTGGTTTTCGTCTTGCCACAAATAGAACAGGAACCTCTACACAGTCGTTGTCAAACTTTAAACTCGGTTATCTCATAATCATAGTTTTTTTATTCCTTAGGTACCAGTATTTTTTATATATTTCAAAATCACCAGTTGATTATTTTTTCTCGTATACTGCATAAATACACATGGCTCGTGAACCAGAATTGAAGATAACTACTTTACATTTTTCTGGTCAATAATTTTCTAACATGCCAACTAACTCAAAACAATGGTCCTAGGGTGATAATTCACAAACATTTTAATACTGTCGAGCTTTTAATACATCTGCATCAATTAAAACAACAAACACTTGGAAAAAACTGATGTATGTTTTTTGTGAATATCCCGTTAAATCACTGAGAAAAAGACACTTCAGTATGACCAACAATGTATAGGTCGTATAAGGGCTACCTGGTGCCCTTGAAACATTTGGTCAGTGGGAACTTCTATGAGAGAATTTTAAACCTACTTAGAATAAATCTGTTATTCACACTATATACAATAGTGAATCGTTCTTGGGCAATGTGAAAGCTGCATCTCTACAACCACTAACATGTGCGAAAATGTGCGCCTCATACCTAGAGTGCAATCGCGGAATGATTTCATTCCATTTTTCTATGCTTTAACGGAATGATATCGTTCCGCGATTGCACCCCTACGTTTACTAGTAATGCATAAAAATGCTGAAAATGCAGGAAATTGAGAAAAACTACAAAAAAAGATATTCTATTGTGTCAAAATATATAGAGCCCTGGTTATAACATTTTGCAAAAAAAAAACGCATTGAATTCCAGAGAAACAGTTGAAGAGGCTGTAGGCCGTTGACTAATTGCCAAGATTTTTTGCCTCTAGTGATAATACGTAACAATAAAACAAATTTACAATATATATACTGTAAGTGGACATGTTTTGTGGACAAATTGACACTCTCATGCTCAATGTAACGATTCGGCGTACCGTATTGAGCTGGATCTCTTCCAACATTTATTGTATTCTAAGCACAAAAGCATTTTGGTTCTCAAGTCACAGCAGACAATCTTGCAGAAAAGGACAGCCCACCTGTTATTACTTTTCCTCTGGAGACGTTGTCATCCCGGCAGCGGCACTGGCCCAATCCGCCCAGTCCATTTCCAGAGCCGGGGCCCAATCCATTGCCCAATCCATTGCCCCTATCATGGCCATTTCCTGGACCTTGGCTTCGGCCTGAGCCAATCCAGTACACTGTACAAGGTTCGTAGAGCTTTAACCATAATATGAATCTTGTGTCAAACAATTTTTTGTTCAATGTTCTTATAACATTCTGAAATGCTTTAAGTTCTTCTTATAAAATTCTTATCCAGGTGTGGCATAATCATTTTGTTTTTCTGGGAAACCAAGAATATTCGGAAATGTATCGAGATGTATGTGTGATGCGGCTGATCACCTTATTTGTTTTATTAGTTTTACCACATGTTATTGATTTCGGTACGAATAGCTCACACAAAAATAAAAGTTTCTTGGCGAGAAAGATAAGATTCCCATTTTACGTTACTACCAGGGCAAACTTCTATTTGTTTTGCCCAATGAAGTAAAGCGGTACCGCTACACGCTAGCCGAGTGAAAACTGAGGAAACATTGGAGCTTGTCACCGTTTTTTTTTTTTCACCATCGTCACCCTCATCCCCTTTCTCATTCTCTCGCTGAACTGTGGTTCATCAACCTCTGTTGTACTCTACCCTGTTCTTTCTCGTTCTGCTTCTCCTGCTCAACCTCTTGCCTTACGTTTCTCCGATGCATTGCTATAGGCGATGCGAGATTCGATTACCTTTTCTGTTGATGACATTTTTCTCGAATGACTACGCGACTTAAGGAAACGCTTTAAAACCTCAGCCGGTGAAAGCTTGAATTCGTGCTTGTTTACAAGAAAGAACAAAATGCAGTAGAACACGGTGTGAATGCAGGTTCGTGCTATGCCCCGTTTAACTAACTTGTTCTGAGCGGAAGAAAAAAATAAGTAAAGGTTTCTGCGCACGTGGTTCATAACACCAACAAACGTGTTGTGTGCTAAAAAACAGTCCTAAGTCCAAAAAGCTTAACTTGTCCTTCTCGGGCATTCCATGTGTCAACACAAGAGGCTTCAAACAATCTTCAAACACGCCTATCGTTTGGGCCACAATCGACTGGAACATAAAAGGGTTACAATTTAGAAGAACCAAAAGATCATCCACGTATCTGAATACTTTGACGACATGCGTGCCCTCTAACGTTTTCTGCAGTTTATTGCTAATTTTCGCTAATAGTAGATGACAGAGTAGAGGTGATATGCATGAGTCTATTGAAACACCTTTTTTTTGTAGATAAATGCAATTGTTCCATTGAACGAAGGTAGAGGCAATGTGCAGCAAATCAAGGTGAAGAAAATCTCGCGCACAGATGCCAGTTTTTAATTGGAAGTTCAATTCTCCGAAGACTTCTATATTATTCCTCATACATTCTAATACCTCATCGTAAAGCAGTGAGTTGAATAGGTCTTTTGTGTCGATTGAAAAACTGAAAACATTATTTTAATTTGACTGTTTCAAAAATTCCATCAGTGCCTGCGAGTTTTTGATCAGAAATGGGCCATCAATCCTTAGACACTTCAGATGGGTCTGAATAAACAAGCCTAGTTGCTTTTGAAATGGTCCACTTTCTGTAACAATGACTTGGAAGGACATGCTAAGCCCATTTTTGTCGCTTTTACTAATATGCTGTGCTAACTGTTTCAACTCCAGTTTACCCTGGCTTGCCTTTTTACTCTATCTAGACGACTGTTGGTACAACATTTGAAAACAGAGCCAACACCTGTGACCGCCTTTTCTCGGTACAATCAATTAGGAAGAACTGCGAAACCACCCTCCTTATCTGACGGCATGACACAAAGTTCACTGTCTCTCAGAAACTTGGCCGTCTTCTGCAATGGAAGGGTGGTGCTGGTAGGCTTACCTCTTCCCTGCGGTGCTTCTTTTGCCGGAACGACGAAAGGTGTCTGAACAATCAACTGAGAGAACACGCCAACAATGTTGGAAACGGTAAAGATGGTTTTCTTGCTCAGCACTGCACTGAGTGCAACTGTGTGCCCTTTTTCAAGGACACAGGAACGCTTTACAAGCACAGGTTTGAGCGCACCCGAGTTATTGTCGAGGCTGCTCAGATGGCATGCGAACAGGTGTCATGCAATAGCAAGCCGTCCGTGTCTCTGTCCGAGAAGGAACTAAGGTTCCTCGAAAGTTTCGATGCGCGCAAGTAGATATATTAATTTTACTTTTCTGTTTTGCTTCCTTATAGACGTTTCTTTGTCTTTTCCTGTTTGTGCCACATGGTTTACTGTATCCTCTATATTTGTTCCCGCTGTGCGCAATAAACTCGGTTGAAAGTTAGCGCTCGTGTCCTTCGTATCCTTTTTGTGTCTTTGTCGACATTCTCTTCTCACGCTATACCTTAAGCCGTGTTCCTGTGGGTCCTAAAGGCGCTCCGACTTCAAGGATGCCCTCCCCCGTTTTTGTTGCGCCCCGGAAAGGCGTCGTCTCCAAGTTGCCCCTTTCCTACTTTTCCGCTGCGGGTCATTCAATCAGCGTCTCTCAGAAGCTGTGGTTGGTTTTCGTCTTGCCACAAATAGAACAGGAACCTCTACACAGTCGTTGTCAAACTTTAAACTCGGTTATCTCATAATCATAGTTTCTTTATTCCTTAGGTACCAGTATTTTTTATTTATTTCAAAATAACCAGTTGATTATTTTTTCTCGTATACTGCAGAAATACACATGGCTCGTGAAGCAGAATTGAAGATAACTACTTTACATTTTTTCCGGTCAATAATGTTCACACATGCCAACTAACTCAAAACAATGGTCCTAGGGTAATAATTCACAAACATTTTCTTCTGTCGAGCTTTTAATACATCTGCATCGATTAAAACAACAAACACTTGGAAGAAACTGATGTATGGTTTATGTGAATATCCCGTTAAATCACTGAGAAAAAGGCACTTCAGTATGACCAACAATGTATAGGTCGTATAAGGACTACCTGGTGCCCTTGAAACATTTGGTCAGTGGGAACTTCCATGGGAGAATTTAAACCTACTTAGAATAAATCTGTTATTCACACTATATACAATAGTGAATCGTTCTTGGGCAATGTGAAAGCTGCATCTCTACAACCACTAACATGTGCGAAAATGTGCGCCTCATACCTAGAGTGCAATCGCGGAATGATTTCATTCCATTTTTCTATGCTTTAACGGAATGATATCGTTCCGCGATTGCACCCCTACGTTTACTAGTAATGCATAAAAATGCAGAAAATGCAGGAAATTGAGAAAAACTGCAAAAAAATATATTCTATTCTGTCAAAATATATAGAGCCCTGGTTATAACATTTTGCAAAAAAAACGCATTGAATTCCAGAGAAACAGTTGAAGAGGCTGTAGGCCGTTGACTAATTGCGAAGATTTTTTGCCTCTAGGGATAATACGTAACAATAAAACAAATTTACATTATACATACTGTAAGTGGACATGTTTTGTGGACAAATTGACACTGTCATGCTCAATGTAACGATTCGGCGTACCGTATTGAGCTGGATCTCTTCCAACATTTATTGTATTCTAAGCACAAAAGCATTTTGGTTCTCAAGTCACAGCAGACAATCTTGCAGAAAAGGACAGCCCACCTGTTATTACTTTTCCTCTGGAGACGTTGTCATCCCGGCAGCGGCCCTGGCCCACTCTGCCCAGTCCATTTCCAGAGCCGGGGCCCCAGCCATGGCCCAATCCATTGCCCCTATCATGGCCATTTCCTGGACCCTGGCTTCGGCCTGAGCCAATCCAGTACACTGGACTAGGTTCGTAGAGCTTTAACCATGAAATGAATCTTGTGTCAAACAATTTTTTGTTCAATGTTCTTATAACATTCTGAAATGCTTTAAGTTCTTCTTATAAAATTCTTATCCAGGTGTGGCATAATCATTTTGTTTTTCTGGGAAACCAAGAATATTCGGAAATGTATCGAGATGTATGTGTGATGTGGCTGATCGCCTTATTTGTTTTATTAGTTTTACCACATGTTAATGATTTCGGTACGAATAGCTCACACAAAAATAAAAGTTTCTTGGCGAGAAAGAACAGATTCCCATTTTACATTACTACCAGGGCAAACTTCTATTTGTCTTGCCCAAAACAGCGGTGTGAATGCATGGTATTCGTTTCAACGCCACCACCGGCGAGAAGTGGCCACGCACTGCCACCGATTATTTACCCGGCGTGGAGCCGACGCCGCCGCCTTTGGACGCCCACTACGACGGCACTGGTGGCAACCGCCACGCCGCACACATCCTCCCTACAGTGAACTCGAAGTCTGTGGTTCACTGCAGCTCACCCACATCAGTCTCCGAACATGCACCACTACGTCACTCCTTCGAGAACGAGTGCAGACCTGTATCACTAACCAGACCTGTATCATTAACAAGCACGTGTTGTAAAGTGATGGAACACGTAATTTTTAAATCTATTATCACTCTTCTAGAAAGCAATAACCTTTTTTATAACCAACAACATGGATTCAGATCTGGGACGTCAACACTAACACAGCTGGCCAAAATATCTATTGACCTCGCCAACACTGTTTATACCAACAGTCAGGTTGATGCCATATTTTGGAGCGTGTGCAGAGGATGGCTGTTAGGTTTATTTTTGGAAAATACAAAAAAAAAACATTCCCCTTCACTTCTAATGCTTACTAATGAAATAAGTTCACCAGAACATCGCCGTAAACTTGGTCGCCTACAGTTCCTGCACAACATAATAAATGGGAAAATTGGCCTTCAGAAGCCTCATTTTTAGTGCCCCTAAACACACGGTCGACTAGACACAGACACAGATTTTCTCTCACGCCTATATTCGCCAAAATCAAATCTCACATGAACAGTTTTTTCCGCGCTCCATAAAAGAATGGAACTTATTACCTGTTAACGTCATACAAGCGGAAACCTTTCCAAAAGAATTGGAAAACCACTTCTCCTAATATTTAGTGTTTGAACATTTCTTGCAAGTGTGTCGTGAATCCCATGCGTCTTGCACTGTACGTTTTTCTTCTTGCATTGTTAGTCTTTTTGTGAATGCCTTGTCACTGTATTATTGTATTTGCCCTTCCTGCATGGGCCAGCATATTGGCTTGCAGTATCGATAAATAAATGATTAAATAAATAAACAAATAAATAAAATATTCTTAGACATTTCAAACGAATTTCACGAGGTCCCA